GTATCTAAATGGAGCCGGCATGATAGGGACGGAGGAGGAGATCTGATCTCTATCCGGATCCCCCAGGAATGAATCCTCCTGGCTGCTTTCCTTCTGCCTTTGTCCTCTAACACGTTGGTGGCCAATTATCTCGGAAAAATAATGGCTGGACGTTGGGTGGGCCATGGGCGGGTTGTAAAGGTCGCGGTGTGAAGGGACATAGGGGTCTGGTGGGAGTCCCAGTTGGCCTCTCTGGGGTTGGAATCCTTTACCGCACACCGGTTGTAAGTTCAGCCTCCCTACAAGTCTTGTACAGATGAGGCTCAGAGCCGGTCAGGAACTTGCCTGATGTTTCACTGGAAGGGGTGGGGGGGAGGGTTGGTGGTCCAAGATGGCAAAGGAGGCTTACACACTCTGGAGTCCATATTCCTCTCTCGCCTCCGCCCCCTTCCCGCACTGGCCCACCCTTGGTGTCCGAAATGCCCCTCGGCCCTCCCGACACTGCTCAAATCCCTCCGTGCACAGTGGGAGCTCCGGAGTCTCTCCTCCAGATACTCCATCTCTCTTCGTGGTCCTGACCCGCGTTCTTGTTCTCGTCTGTGTCCTTTTCCGAGAGCTCGGAGCAATGTTCTACCCAAAGAGCGAGGGGTCGACTCCCAGGCCGGTCCCTGTGTGGGGAGAGAGTCTAGGTAGGCAAATCAAGTGATGCCTTCCGAGGGGAGAGGGGAACGAATGTTTTATTTTTTTTTTTAAACTGGATGGTGGGTACTCACTCAGTTCTGTCTTGTGTTGTTTTTATGTCTTTTATATCTTAATTATTCCCTAGTAAATTAAAAACACTCCCGTGTCATCTCTGAGGCCTGGTGTCCTCAGTTCCACCCTAAAGAGTTGTTTTGAAGGCCCCCGGGGTGGGGTCAGGGGAATGAGGGCATTAGGGACCCCTTTCCACAGGCTCTGCAGAGGGAACGGAGGCCCCTTCTGGAAGGGGGTCTAGAAACTGCTCTCACCGGCCTGTGCCCAGAAGGTAGAGCCCAGAGCTTTCTGTGAGCAGGGAGTGGGGTCGCCCCTCCCAGGCAGACTGCCCCCTCCGATGGCTCTGGTGAATGAAGCCTCCTGGGAGGGAGGACTGCAGCTCCGCAGACAAGAGGGGGCAGGCCAACAGGAGGCCAGATTTGCCAACTCATGCCCCTCTGCTAGGAGAATATTACTCGGCCTGCTCCTTTGGAGACGGAGTGGGTGTCCATCCGGTCTTTAACGAGCCCACCTCCCCTCCCAACGCTCCCTACACCCCTCCAGCCCTGCAGACCCACTTCTGTCCTTCTCCCTGTGACCAAGGCTCAGGAAGGGCCCCTTCCAACTCCGCCATGGCTCTCCCAAAGCCAGAGCACCCTCCTGCTGAGCCCGCAGTGGGAGACGCCCCTCTCCACAAGCAGCAGGATGGCTTCCTTCTCTACCCCGGTCCCCTTCCCAATGCCACAGAAGGGAGGCCACTGGGCCTTCTGATGGGGGGGGGGTCAGACCCAGGGCACCTGGAGCAAAGGACAGAATGGGGGGGGGTACAAAGATGTGAGGTGCAAAGGGCAGGGGCACAAGGCCCACCGTGGCAAGGCAGAATGGATTGAGGCTGCAGGTCCTGAGACCTCGGGCCCAGCAACGTGCTGTACAACTTATGCCGAATCACAGCCCCCCTGGGCTTCAGAACCCCATCCGTGAGACGGATAGGATGGTTGGTACTCCGCTGATGAATACTGCTTTGTGCTGGTAAGATCGCTTCATCCCGTCTTATCCCACCCAGATGGTCCCTCCATCATTTCCATCCTCACACAGCACCAAGCTCTTTGCAGATGCCAGGCAGCGGCAGAGGGCACAGTGCTGTAGGGCCGAGCTGCTGAGTTAGGGCAACACAGATTTGTTGAGCAGCAATGGGCCTGGCCCAGGACAGACCCTGGGGCTTTAGAGGAATTAGATCCATCCCCTGCCCCAGGAGGGCACTGGCTCGTGCAGAGACAGGTGCGTAACTCGGGAGGTCAGACAGGAAGAGGGAAATAACAGCTCAGAGATGTTTCGGGAGTGTCATCAAGCTGGGCAGAGAGATGCAGCCAGGAGCAGACTGGCTGGAAAATTCTGCACGAGAAGCAAGTGCCAAGTCCCCATCGCAGAACCGACTGCCGCTCCAGGCCGATAGCTTTCAAACCAGTCATCCTCTCCCTGAAGGGCATCAGGGCTCTCGGGAGGGTGCCAGGCTAAGGCCCTGAGTACTTGGCATGCGTGCACACGCACACATGCACGCACACACAGCAACACTTCAGAGCCAGAGAGAAAACCAAGTCCACAGGTAAAAATTATACTTTTATTATTTGAGTCACCAGGAGAAAGATTCACTTGTGGTCCAAGTCAAATGTTGAGAGTCGTTAACAGGCCAGAAAGAGTTGATCCCAAGCACAAGCCCACGAGGGAGGGGACCAGAAGAGACCAAGAAAAGACAACCACCCCATATAAAAAGATGAACGGACGGCTTCACACACACACACACACACACACACACACACACACACCACACATACACACACACACGGATGAAATGTTTGGACAGAGGCAAATTTCACATGGTCATTTGTTTCTTTTTAAATACAGGCTTGTGGGGTGGTATTTTTTTTTTTTTTCCAGCTATTTAAAAAAAAAAAAAAAGGCCCAAAAGTGCATATGTGAGAGGGTAAAGGCAGAAATGAAGCAATAAAGTCGTTTTCCCTGGAGGGACATGAGGAAGAAAATAGGAAGCAGTAGGACAGAATTCACTTTTCTCACCAATGGACTTCTTGCATTTTCTTATTGGTCCACTACAGTTATATTCACATTCTAGCTTTGATGCATCTTCTTTCCTGGTATTAGGTTGGCCAAAGACCTTTGGAAACTGTACGAAAAGGCCAGGGACTCGACCCAGCCACCGGTTCTGTGCTCTTGTAGGGATGGATGGTTCTGGAAAGGAGCAGGATGCCTTAGCAGCCCCTGGGTCCCTCAGCACCAGTATGACAGTCCTTCTCTCTGGGGGTGTGTAAGAAAAGGTCCCCTATTTTTAGGGCAGGGGGAGCAGGGGGGCCGGCAGCAAGATTCCAGTGGCTGGCCTGCCTTGTTGTGGAAGGAAAACGAAGCGAAGGGAGAACAGGCTCCTTCTTGCTCCTCTAGGCTTTCCTCCCCTCTCTGCCCGCACAGGTCCTCCAACGACAGGACGCGTCTCTGACCTTGGTCCCCAAATCCAAGCTGTGCTTTGAGATCAAGAGGAAAGGTAACGGATGGCTCCCTCATCCCCCAGATCGTCCAACATAGACCCTCCACCTGCCTTCAGCTCTGCCGGGGCCAGAGAGAGACAGAGAGACTGCTCAGGCAGGGCTCTCCCCGCCCACAATGGTCATTTCTTCATTCTTCCGATTTGGGGAAGATATTCCAACGTCAACCCTCACGCACTGAGGACCTGACTGCTGAAATTTGCCTGTAGGGTCCCCCCTCCCCTGAAGGAACAAGGAGGCAAAGATGTCAACTGTGGAGCCTGAGGGGAAGACAGGAGGGGGAGACCCAGGGAAGGTAGAGCGAGCCCAGAAGAGATGAATGAAGCCAAGCAAGGGTCATCACAGCCACCAACGGACGAGAGAAGGGACTTGGAAATAGCACCATCTTTCCCTTCCTCATCCCGGGGTCTGTGCTTCCAGTTTTGAAGCCCTGGGACCTTCTCCCTCTGCTTCAAGGGGGCCTGAGGTTAGTAAGGGGGAGGGCAGGGGGGTAGCGAGGCACCCCCGGTAGGGGTGACAGAGATGGGGCGGGGGAAGAGGCCTAGAGCCATGGAGCCTGCCCCCACCCTCACCCCAGCAAGCTGCCGGCCCCCACATCAGCCCGGCCAACTCCACAACTACCCCCCCTCCCTGACCTCTGCCCAGCACACTGGAAAGGGGGCGGGTGGGCTTCCGCCATTTGGCAATTGAAGGAAAGGAGGAATTTTCATGCCAAAGAAGCCACCAGGGACTTCTCCCCCGCTGGGGTCCTCCCAGAGACTCCCACAGGCCTGCACCCTGACTGCCACAGATACAGAAATGCTCCTTCCCGCACAGACGGAGTCCTAGAGAGGCGCGAAGGTTCTGTGGCTTTGCACAGTTCCAGTCCACTTGGCTTTGGGCCGAGGAGGGGCGGCTGCGCGGAGGCCCGAGACATCTTCCCATGGGGAGGAGGGGGTAGGACCCACCTAATCCAGAGCTCAGGGGGGCTGGCTCTCGGTGCAGGAGCCAGCCAGGGCGCCTGGGGACTGAGAGGAGGAGGAAGTTCTCTGTGGGAGAGAACACCCTCCTCCCCTCCTTCCTGTAGCTGTCCCTAAAAGTAAGAAAGGCGAGCACTTGACCCAAGCCATGCTTCCTAGGGAGCTCCTCGCCCACGCCCCATGCGTGGGCAGGAGCGCGAAATCACAGTGTGAGAAGGAACACATGCAGGGAGGGATGAATGAACCCCGAAGCGGGAACGCTCCCCTCCTCTGTGGTCCTTGAGAGTGGGAGAGGGTGGTGAGGGGCCCCCTCAGAGGGCTGGCAGCCCTGTCTTTGAGAAGTAGAGGCAAAGCCCATCCCAGGGACAAGGGTGGTGGGGTCTCATCTCGGAATGTACGGAGCCCCTCCCCTGGGAGTCCTGGAAAGTTGGGGTGTGTGAGGAGGGCAGGAAGGTCTGGGAGGAGGGGGGAGGGCAGAAGAGAGAGAAGGCAGAGGCCTGGGAGCCAATGGGTCTGCAATTCCAGACCAGCTCCCCAGGCCTCAGCCTCCCCCAGAGAGGTCCACACCTGTTCCGTCCAGAGAGAAAAACAAGAAGTTGGTCAAGGGAAAAACCTGCCAGAGAACAGCCCGCGAAAGTGGCAGAACAAGGCTTCAGTTGGCAAAAGAAGCTGGAGGAGGGTGGGAATAAACAAGCTGTCGCAGATTTAAAAAAACAGACACTTAAGGGTGGGCAGGTCGGCCCAGGACAGAGGATGCGGTGGAATGCACTGAAGACGGGCGGGGGGGCGGGGCCGGGGCTCAGATGGCCTCCACGTAGTTGGCTGGCAGCATCCCCGTGTCGCCAGTGCGCTCCACGGTCCCGTACATCCAGCCATCGTCGATCTGCTGCACGTTGACGATGGTGTCCCCATCCTGGAAGGAGACCTCGTCCTCGTCCGCGGCACTGTAGTCATACACAGCGCGGTACCGCTTCTGCAAGAGTGGGGATGCGGTCAGCCTGGGGCCAGGCCCTTCTTTCTAACCCTATACGGCCCAGGCCTCTGATCTGTTCATCCACTGGGATCTCAGGGGGAACTTTCCAAACTGCAGACCTGATCATGTGACTCCCCGGCTTTAAGTCCTTCAGCACCAGATTTTTCTTTTTTTAAAGATTTTATTTTTAAGCAATCTCTACACCTAACGCAGACCCCGAGATCTGGAGTCCTATGCTCTATGGACCCAGCCAGCCAGCACCAAATTGCAAACTTTCTTTCAAGCAGCAGAAAATAACTCCATCAGCCCCGAAGGCTGTGTGTGGGTAAGAGGTTACACCCCGCCCCACAAAGTGACCTTGGTCTCTTATCACCAACTCCGCCTCTATCTCTTGGGCTGAATTGCCGCCAGCTATGCCTGCGTCCTGCGACAGCCTCCTCCCTAGTCTCCCTGCTTCCGCCCTCAACATTCTGCTGCCACTTCTTAAGAGCCACCCGTGAGCCTTTAAAAACAGAAATCAAAACCGTCATTCTGCATAGCTCACCAATCACAAAGGCCTTCCTGCGACCTACAAGTCCCTGCACGACCTGACCTTATCTCCTACCTTTTTCCCCTCTAATCGCCTTGGCCTTCCTGCTAGCCCCAGGGCCTTTGCAGTTGCTGCTCTCCCTAAACCACTCACTCTCTCATCTTACTGAGGACTCTGGGGCTCTCCCTCCAAACGTCCTGCTTTTTCTTCCTGGCATGTGCCACTATCCGACCTTATATTATATACCTACTTAATTTATTGCCTCCTTATTTGTCTCCCTGACTGAAATATAAGCTCCAAGACAGCAGGAAGGTGGTCTTTTATTCAGTGCCAAATCCCTCTTGTCCAAAACAGGTTTAGCGAGTATTAGAAGGACTGGCTGGTCTACCTGGAATCTTATCCTACAGATGATGTCTCAGTCCTGCCCAGCAGCCCCGTGGCATGGACACTCCCTTGTTTACCCCCTCGTGTCCAGGGCATGAGGCTCCAGGAGGACGGGTATCTCAGGCTATTTTACTTCTCTAAGTATAGTGTCTCCTACTTCTTCCTCCATGAGCTACTTCCAATTCCCAGGAACCGAGCACAGAGGAGCTGAACGCAGCCAGGAGCTCAGGCTGGGGGGCCCAGCAGCTCCCTCAGTGGGACAGGCGGCAGGACTTACAGACCAGGGACTTCAACTCTAAGGACAGTAAGCCTGGTCCTGCCCCAGTTCCTATTTTGCTCATCACTGACCTGGCAGCATTGCTGAGCGCCGGCTCTGCGCCTGGTTCAGAGCCGCTAAACCAAGAGGACGCGGCCCGGCCCTTACCGAGCTGCAAACCCAGCAGGGGAGGCAGACACAAGTTAACAAACAGAACATTCTGAGCTGCCAAAAGTACTCTGAAGAGAACCAGTGGTGGGGAGTGACAGATGTGTCAGGGGAGACCCATATGACATTGGGGGGTTTAGGAGGACCCCTTGGAGGCAGGACTGAGATCTAAAGGATGTGGTCGGGCTTGGGGGTCATCCTCATGAGGAGTGGGGAGCAGGAGGCAGGAAACTGAGCAGGGGAGGTGACTTGTACAACGTACACCCAGAGCTGGAGCCCTGGGCCCCAACCCCAGCCCAGGGCTCGGTGCCTTGACCACACAGGTCTCTCTTATCACCTGCAGAGGGCAAAAGGAGCTGGGGTCAAAGATCAAGGGAAGCCAGGCTTCCAGGTTGGGTTTCTTAAGGAGAATCTAGGAACTGTGACCATGAAGGCTTTCCCTGGGCCCATCCACCTCTGGCTTCCCCAGACTTCTGACCCCCATTCCACCTCCCAGCTCTAGGATCTCTCCCACTTGGCCACAGCTACTTACCCCGCCCCCGCCTGGGGCCCTGCATGGTATGGAGACTGGGGCAGCAGGCTCCTTGTAGCCACCATAGGATTGTGCCACCGGCTGCTGCTGGGGCTGCTGGTAAACTGCAAGATGGGAGAGACAAGGCTCAGAAACCCGATCCCTCCTTCGGCCTCCTCCCTAAGAAGCCCCTATCATGCGTTTCCACCCCCCCACAACCTTGCTCAGCCCCCACTTCTCAAAGGCTCATCTGTCTGCACATGTTCATCTGCTGGTGTTGCACACTCTCCAACAGGGGCCGTACCTCTGCCAACACACTGGAACCCGGCACGGACCCTGACCCGGGTGCTCATTGCCCCACTGGGAGGGGGCCTGAGGGTTTATAAGAGGGTTGTGAGGGTGTGTGTGTGTGTACAGAGGGATTCTTGCCAACCTCCTCCCCATCCCAAAGCTGGCCTGGTCTCAGGCCCTCTGCCTAAACAGGGGCACTGGCTTGCTCACCTGGGGCGCTAGCTGGGATGTGGTGGGGCGGCTGCTGCTGCTCCTGGGTGTCTCGGCGCTCAGACTCCATGCCCTCGCCCCCGCTGGGGGGCCATGCGGCTCTTCTCAAACTCCTCATGGTATTTTATCTGCAGTGGCAGAGAGCGCTGGGTAAAGGACTCACAGCAAACCAACCAAAGCTCCTTTCCCGTGGCCACTTAAGATCTCCCAGGAGAGGAGAGACTCCCCAAGGGCTATAGGCAGACGGGACCAGATTCCTGTGGCTACTTAACCTTGCTGGGCCTCAGTTTCCACCTCTGTAAAATAGGACATCGGAGCCCACCTCTGGTGTTGCTGCAGGACGACAAGAATGCCCGCTCACTGGTACCTGCTGGGTGCCAGGCACTGTGCTGGATTCTACCTCCCAGGCCCATTTTAGCCTGTCAGCACCTGGGAGGGGGATATACAACAGTCCCTGACTAACTGACAAGAAGGAAACGAAGGTACTGACAAGCTAAATGAGGGAGGAGAGCAAACCCTGCCCTGTTCTCTGGAGCAGAAGGAACCAGTGACTCTGGGCCCCAAGGCCTGATGGGAGCTGTCCCGGCCCAGGGCAGTCCCTTTTGGCCATCCTCTCCTACTTGCTCTGCTCCCTTCTCTCCCACTCAGTGGCATTCGCTTTGCCAGGAGGGCAAGAATTGACACTTGGCCAGGCAGGGCTTATGTTTACTAGACCCAGGCTAAAGGTCTAGAGGTGTGGCCAAGGAGAACAGGGCACAGCATCTGTGGCTCAATGCAGGCCCGGCTGGGAGGCCCAGCTGGGAGGACGGGCAGGGTGGGGGTAACACCTCACCTAGGAGTCTGGGTCCTGACGAGCCCCTCCTTTCTCTGCCCCTTCTCTTCGAGCCAGAGCAGGGACTCACCCCCAAATGGTGAGATGGGCTGTGTGTATTATGGGCTGACCATATTACTTAGGGGGAAGCAGCCAGCCCTGGCCAGACTAAAAACCGACAGGTTCCTTCAACTCCTGCTCAGAAGAGCACCCAGGAGGGAAGTTTTCAGACATAAGGCCAGTGCCTTGCTCTAACATTCTGAAAACAAGAGCCAAAGCCAAGTGTCCCCGAGCTCCACTCCCTCAGTGACTCCCGTCCACTGGCTGGAGAGGGGGCACGGCGACAAGGAGCGAGGCCACCCCTCCTGAAGTCTTGAGGCTCACAAGGCAACTGCCCTTCCGACTTTTGTCCTAGGGGTTAGAAGGGTGAGCTTCCTGTGTTTACTTTCTGTGGAAGAAAAGAGACCTGACCCCGGGAGCCAGTGACAAGGGGAGGGAGAGCACATGCGTAGAAGCAGACAAAGGCCTGCACTGGGGGGACAGCTGTCCCTAATGCTGGGGGCCCAGCTTCCCTGCATGGCAGCCGCCTTCTCTGGGTGTGAAGAGGTGACAGAGAGCCCTGAGGGAGAGGGTACTTCCCTCCCAGTTCTTCTGCCATACTCAGGAGCCAACGCCTAGAGCTATTCCCAGTCAGTGTCCTACAGACTCAGTCCCTCAGCACGAGAGTGGTGCCCCTTCCACGCCTCATCCCTGGAAGGTCATCAGCTTTTTGCTTACTCATGTGACCCTGGGAGAGTCCCTACTGCTCTGGGCCTCAGTTTCCTAATCTGTAAACTGTACCAGCTGTTCCCAGGAGGTCCTGAGGCTCCAGACCAGGTCCAGCAACCAAACCAGACTCTAGAGCTGAAAGCAAGTATGGACATGCGTGCAGTTCCATGAGCGGCTGCTAGAATTGCTCTTGGTGCTTAGAAACCACGACCCAGGATAAATACTTCTAAATTAGGGCCAGCTGCCCCAGGTAGATGGAGTCGTGGCAGCCCGAACATAGCAGAACCCTACCCACCACCACCGATGTACACACCACCTGTTAGTGTTAATACCAAGAACCTTCCCATTTGCTTGGCAACTCACGCAGAGTGCTTGAAGGCTCTTTCCGCCATCATCTCCCCCCCCCCCGGTGACAATCCCCCCTTGACCCCGGGCAGGTACACTTTCATTCCCGCTTTACAGAAGACAGACATGTGCTCAGAATTTTAATGACTTCCCAAGACAGAGCTTTCATTACTCAGGAAGGGCCGAGGCTGGTGACTGACACAGGGACAGAGTCACGAGGGACAGGCCTGAGCCCAAGGGCAGGTGCGGAGCAGGGGGGGCCACGTGCCCAAGGCCACCCCTCACCCCACTTCACGGCTTTGGTTTGGGCATAAATGTGAGTGGTGCACCTCTCACTTGAATGGGGGTGATTACCCCAAGGTCACCCTAACTTTGAGGGGAGACGAGGCAGCGTGGCAGGGAAAGTGGGGTGCAGCCCCTCTGCCTGGGCCCACTGGGAGAAGACGCCACCACTCTCCACATCCTCTCCCTCCCTTCCCCAGCAAATGAGAAAACTGTGTTCTGTCTTTGCCGGCCTACCGAATGGCATGAGAAGCCAACAGGCACGCTAAAGGGAGTTAGCCTATCCGAAAGGGAAAGAAACATTTTCCAGACTCCAGGGGTCTGGCTCGTCCCTGTTCCACAGTCGGCAGAGTTTGATCTTCCAAGAGCCCTGAATGGGGGTCACCACAAACCCAGAGATGTCACCTAGGGCCTCAGTTTAAGAACTGTCATAGCCAACAGGGTGGCTCAGTCGGTTAAGCATCCCACTCTTGATTTTGGGTCAGGTCACGATCTCATGGGTCATTGGATCAAGCCCCGTGTCGGGCTCTGCGCTCAGCATGGAATATGCTTGAAAGCTTCTCTCCCTCTGCCCTTACCCCCAACTATCTCTCTCGATCTCTCTCTCTCAAATAAGTAAACTTTTTAAAAAATAAGGAACTGTCATGGGCCCCCAAGCACCCTGTTCTATGCCCAGAAGATCCAAGTGCACGTGGGTTGAGAGGCTAGGACTCGGGGGTGATCAGTGGAGGGTCCATTCCATGGCTAAATACAGAACCCCATTTTCTCTGCTAGCCCACATTCTGTTTTCTGAACCCCTGCTCCCGATTGTGGTGTAAAACGGAGGTCTGACACCGCACGGCACTCTCACATGACTCTACATCATCGGCCACAAGGGAACACAGGCTCTGGATGGAATCATTAACTCACCAGCCAGAGTCTATATTTTTTAATAATTCTTTTTTTTAACATCTCCCACTCTCTGAGGGCCGATTGTTTGTCCTTACATGGATTACTCATTTCCTTTTCTCAGCCAGTCCTACGACTGTGTATCACTATCACGCCCCCTCCCCACCCCCAGTTTTCTAGATGGGGAAACCAGGTAACGGGGTGGAGTTAGCAGAATCCAGCTCTCACATCTCATCCATACTTCTCAACTACCATGCAATACTGCTCCCTACTACAGACTAACAGTATTTTGTTTTTAAAACAAATGTGAATCTGTGTTCACCTTCATTAGTCATCAGAGAAATCACTGCAGGTTAAAACCACAGTAAGATTCCACTACACACAATCAAAATGGCTAAAGTGAGCAAGTCTAAGTGAGGAGGCAGAGCAATGGGAACTCATCACTGCTGGCTGGAGGGGAAATCAGTACCCACTTGAAAATTAGATTAGCATTATCTGGCAAGGTGAAGGATCATAAACTCTAAGACCCAGCAGCAATTCCACTCCACAGGAACCCCAAGAAATATGTATGCGGGCATCCAGAGCGTGTGGAAGCAATCTCAAATGCAACACCAGTATCAATAAAATGTATTAAGCATTAAAAGGAATATGATACAGCAATGAAAAAGAATGGCGTGTAGCTACATGCAAGTACGTCCATGAATCTTTAAGCCCAGTGTTGACCAAAGGAAGAAAGACACAAAAAGAATACCTAGTATATGTTCAGAATCAGGAAAAACAAAACTACAGCATTTAGTAATACATAGTAACATATTAAAATTCGAAAAAAGAGGGGCGCCTGGGTGATTCGGTCTGTTAAGCTGAGTGTCTGCCTTTAGCTCGGGTAATGATCCCAGGGTCCTGGGGATCGAGCCCTACATCGGGCTCCCTGCTCTGCAAGGAGCCTGCTTCTCCCTCTCCTTTCTGCCTGCCGCTCCCCCTGCTTGTGCTCTCTCTGTCAAATAAATAAAATCTTAAGAATAAAATAAAATTTAACTAGGAAGAATAAATCACAGCACACACTCTCAAAAATTTTACACTGGTTGTTCCACGAGCTTGTGTCCAGGTCATCTGACCCTGGGCATAGAATTTCTGTTTGATGTTACTACTTAACTACTGACTAGGCCCAGCCCCTAAAGACTGAAGCCAACTTAACCAGAGTATGGGCTGCTCATTATTTTTCTTTTTTATTTTTAAGATTTTATTTATTTGACAGAGATCACAAGTAGGCAGAGAGGCAGGCAGAGAGAGAGGAAGGGAAACAGGCTCCCCGCTGAGCAGAGAGCCCGATATGGGGCTTGATCCCAGGACCCTGGGATCATAACCCGAGCCGAAGGCAGAGGCTTTAACCCACTGAGCCACCCAGGCGCCCCTGCTCATTATTTTTCACTGATATAAACGCAAAGCCTGTGTCAAAGATATTCCCAAAGTTTATGGTTTTATGGTCCTGTAGAACATTACCGAGTTCTGCAGATAACAGCAGGGTACCAACCAGTTCCGGTCTCACTGTATCCAGCATTTTCTTTCACTAACCAGGCAGCACATCTGCCTGTCTTAACCTCCAGCATAATTAATTAAGTGAAATATAGGAGAGGTGCTCACTGTATGAGAGCTAGGTTTTTAGCACTTTAAAAATTCTCTGCTGGGGTGCCTGGGTGGCTCTGTGGGTTAAACCTCTGCCTTTGGCTCAGGTCATGACCTCAGGGTCCTGGGACCTGTGGGTGGGGAGCCTGTTTCCCCCTTTCTCTCTGCCTCTCTGCCTACTTGTGAACTCTCTCTCTCTGTGTCAAATAAATAAAATCTTAAAAGAAAAAAAAAAAACACCACAAAACTCTATTTTAAGAGGAGTTCGGGTTGTGGTGGTGGGGGTGGTAGGGAGTTCAGGAATGTTTCTTGACTTGCACAGTGAGCACAGGTGTTCCCTCGGTGTTACTGGGTGTTACGTTTCACAGAAAAACTTTACGTTTCACAGAAAAAGACACAGGGTTGTATATAGAAAATCAATATATAAGAAGATACAGAGGTAAACAAAACCAGAACTTCCCCACTGTTTAGCAGGGGCTCAGCCATGAAAATTTCCCAGTGCATTAAAGCCACTGGTGCTTGGGACCAAAGGTCCTTCCCGAAGGATACGCTGCATCCCAGAGCACACAGCCCTGACATCCCAACCCTTCCCATGCCTTTAACTAAGACACAGTTCCCCCAGAAGTACAACTTACTGGACCCTGCCTCAAAAGTTTTCACACATTCTCAGCACCAGACAATGGCCCAACTTTCCAACCAAGCTTTATCCCCTGCCTCTTCCTGAGCCACAGTGAGGAAAGTGGACAGGTCTGCCTTTACAGAGATGGTAACTGTACTGACCACACTGATCTGACGGATGACAGACTGCACACATCCAAGACCTTTAACCATTATTCCTCTGGGGATGCAATCTCATCCCTTCATAAGATGGTCTGACCTCTCCGGGAGCAGCTGGGGGTCACTGGGTGCTAACCTGGGAAGCAAGTGACCAGCCACACAGAGGACACTATTTTGGATACTAAGCAAAAGGTGTGTCTCTCTCTAAACACTATCTTTGCCCCCAACTCTTCTGGAGGTTGGGACAACCTCACAATGGCTCTCAGCATGGTTTCGAGCTCCCTGAGAGTTCGGGGATGTGGCTGGGCCTGGCAATCCCTGACTTAAGGCTTGAGAAAGCATTTTTTTTTTTTTTAAGATTTTATTTATTTATTTGACAGAGAGAGACACAGCGAGAGAGGGAACATAAGCAGGGGGAGTGGGAGAGGGAGAAGCAGGCTTCCCGTGGAGCAGGGAGCCTGATGTGAGGCTCGATCCCAGGACTCTGGGATCATGACCTGAGCCGAAGGCAGTTGTTCAATGACTGAGCTACCCAGGTACCCCGAGAAAGCTTTTTCAAGCTTTTTAAGTAACAGCTCTCAAACTTCACTGAGCATCCCCTGAACGCAGCGAACATGCTTAAAATGCTGGTTCCTTGACTGCGGCTCAGGTCATGACCTCAGAGTCATGGGACGGAGCCATGTGGGGCTCCCCACTCAGCCAGGAGTCTGCTTGGGATTCTCTCCTTCTCCCTCTGCCCCTCCCCCTGTGCTCTCTCTCAAATAAATAAATCTTAAAAAAATAATGATAAAACAAAATAAAATGCTGGTTCCTGGGTCGGGCTCCCAGAGATGCTGAGTCAGCAGCCTATGAGGAGCCGGCCTGTGGGCCTGCATTGTCAATAAACCTTCCCACATCGGGACATCTGGGTGGTTTAGCTGGTTAAGTGCACGACTCTTGGTCTGGGCTCAGGTCATGATCTCAAGGTTGTGAGATCGAGCCCCGCATCAGGCTCTGTGCTCAGTCCAGGACTCTGCCACAGATTCTCTCTCTCTCTGCTCCTCTTCCCCTGTGCATGCACTCTCTCTCTTTCTCAAATAAATAAATAGGGGCGCCTGGGTGGCTCAGTGGGTTAAAGCCTCTGCCTTCGGTTCGGGTCATGATCTCAGAGTCCTGGGATTGAGCCCCGCATTGAGCTCTCTACTCAGCAGGGAGCCTGCTTCCCCTGCCTACTCGTGATCTGTTTCTCAAATAAATAAATATAATCTTTTAAAAAATAAACAAACAAATAAATAAATAAATAAAATCTTTAAAACAAAACAAGACCAAAAAAAACCTCTCCCATGTGATTTTAGTACAGTCATTTACTGAGGCCACATCTGACAGACTAACTGCATTCACTAAAACTGAGAGCCCTCCAGCTTTGTGGTCACACCTCAGACATCCCAGCTAAAGCTGCAAAAAGCAGAACCCCGTCAGGTTCAAGCCACTTCCCCCACCTTGGAGCAGAGGACAATCAGCTAATGGCAGCCCTGTGGTTAATGATAAGATGGTTATCGCTTTAGGTGTAGATGTCTTGGCCATGGTGAGTTCAGTTACCAGAGCTCCTCAGATGTTAACACCTCCAATAACTGGGTATGGAATATTCTGGAAGCCTTCCAGAAAGGGAGGCAGGGATGACTGGGCTCGCTTGTCTTCTGCCTCTAAAAGCCACAGGCTGGAAGCAATGAGTAAATGTGCTGGGGAACTGGGGTTGTAGATGAGAGCACGTGTCCTTGCAATGGAAACACCATAGAGGCCTGGAGAGTCAAGACTCCAGCTTTGCGAGCCATTCCACGTTTTCCCCACTGCCCAAGGCTTCCCCCTCCCTCCCACTTGTCGTGTGGAGAGCTGCAAGACACAGACCTTCTTTAACCCTTTTTACCCTTCAGAGAGTCTGGGCAGCATCATTCGAGGCCAGGCCCTGGCTTATAAAGCAACTGAAACAGGTTTTACTTAAGAGAGAGAGAGAGTGAGAGAGAGAGTGTGTGTGTCTGGGTGGGGGGTTGAATTTGAGCTCTCCTAGCCCAAGGGAAGCTCTCCATTTCCTTAAGCCACAAATTTCAAACCGTAGGTCAACGGCCTTGTTGCAAAACCCACTTAGTTACCCATTTAGTTAAGTCTGAAGCAAGTATCTTTACAAGATAAAATAGAACAGAAAATAGGTATCTGAATCCTCTCCAAGGACTCTTCGAGGAAAGCTCTGATTCGGTTTTCTCTCTAGATAAATAAGCAGGCCTCTTTGGTGGGTCACCATGTGAAATGTATGTCGTATCGTAGGTTGCAAAGTCTAAAAGCCACTGACTTGGGCCTGACTGGTTCTACTGGCCCTAAGCCCTTGCCCTGGAACCCACTCGAGCCACTGCAGAGTCACTCTAAGCACAGTGCCACCAAGGAGGCTGGGGGAGGGCTCTGGAGGCTGGGGGGGGGGGTGCCCCAGGGGGCCTGCCTGAATCCCAGACCCTCCACCCCCAAGTGACCTCGGGCAACCTGCCAACTCCTTTCTCTTCTAGACATAAAGACAACCGTTTGCCCAGGCCTTCATTTGTAGGACTGCCCCCCCCCCCATGAGGCTGGCTGGGCACACACTGCTATTCTGTGCCCTAGGACCCTGGGCCACGGAGCCACGGGGCTCGCAGCCCAGGTTCATAGCATGTGCCCCAACCCCCTCCCGCCCCCGCCCCAGGCAGTTTCCCTGCAAACTCAGATACACAGGCGGCAGGTCTGTGGCTCTGCAAGGCAGGAAACCAATGCCTATTCCCCGGCCACAGGTGCCACGGCCCCGAGATCGACCACCCACGCTTTATACCCAGCGCCACCACCTCGACATGCCGACCATCCCTAGACCAGGGGGACGGGGCCGGCCAGCAAAGCCAGCTGGGGTTTTTACACAGGAAGGAAGAGCAAGCCGAGGTGGGGGTGGAGGCCGAGGGAGGGCGGAAATACTGCAGTATCAGCACCCAGAGACAGACGAAAGGGGGGCCGGCCCCTCCCCACCTAGCCACCCAGTTATGACCTTCGTGCTCTGACAAACAGTCCGTCTGGACCCTGACGCCCACCACAGCCGCGGTCAGGGGGACACTTTAGAGAGGGTGGGGAGAGCTTTAGCACATGCGCCCTCCCTGTACAAAAGCTGAGTGCTTTTCCAGTAGAAGTGCCATGTGGGCCCAGGGTGGAACGGGGGAATATGGGGGTGCACAGAAAAAAGGCAAGTGGGAAGCCTAGACCCTTCCTTCCTTCTTGACATCTGTCACCCAGGCGGGCCCGGGGAAGTGGGGCAGTGGGGGTCCCATAGCGGGCAAGGGAGCGTACGTTACTGATCTGGTCCTGGGTCTTCTTGATTCTCTGGAGTTCGGGCGTGTCCGCCACCACGCTGAACCCTTTGCCCTTGTTCTTCTCGAACTCCTCCTTGTAGCGCACCTGGAGGACCAAGTTGTGGAGAGGGATTAGCGTCAAGACACGGGCAGCAGAGGGCCCCAGCCCACGGCCACCTCCGACGGAACAACCAGCCAGGATGGAGACGCTGACCAGAAATGCCCTGCAGCGACGTCCACTGCCCCCGCACCCCGAAGTCAAAGCAGGAGCCTGAGCCAAAAAAGGTTCGACTACTAACAATAACCCACGGAAATGTATTCAGGGCCTTCCGAGTGCCAAGTGCTTTACATGAATTACCTCAAGTCAGTCTGCTAGCTCCGTTTTGCAGATGAAGAAACTAAGCCAGAGAGAGGCAAAGCCCCCTGCCAAGGTCATACAGCTCGGAAATCAAGTCCAGAATCACCAGGCTGCAAACTCTCGGCTGCCTGACTCCCAACCCTTCCCCGCTGACCCATCCTGTGTGAAAGCTATAGGAAGAAGGTACTTTCCAGAGCTCCAAAGGCTGCCCCAGCCCTCCTCACCCTAGCCAGGATGTGGCCCGACCCACCGAGAACCCGGAGAAGTCTTGAAGCGCCCAGCTGAGCGAAGGCTGTGCCAAGTGACAAAGCCGGCACCCAGAAAGGAGGGCGGAGAGACAGCCACTCGGAAGGACTCCATCAATGAGCCTTTGACAGGCCCGGCGGCTCCCTGGAGCCTGCCAGGCCTGCTTCTAAGGTCAATGCCGCATGAGGAGATGACATCGGTGGGGGCAGAGACAGGACTTCGGAACAGGGTTCCAAGCTCCGGGAAAGAACCCTACCCTCCAGCACTGCCTTCCTCTCCTGAGAAATTCACGGAAACTCAAGTACCTGAGGGACTCGAGTCAGACCTAAGAAAGGACTTCCCGAACGCTAATGGAATTGAAATACGAAAAATATCTCGTTCTCCCCAGGGGGTTTTAAAGAACGGAATGGAGGCTAGAAACGCCCATGGGACACAGAACAGTTCCTTGGTTTCCAGAGACTTCACCGTCCACTCCTGAGCCACCAGCTGTTCCAGCCCCACCAGCTGCCTAGATTGCCTCCGGGGGTGTGTGTGTGTGTGTGTGTGTGTGTGTGTGCGCACGCGCGCGCGGTGCCTGCCCTACAAGCAGGTCAGCCCAGGACACAAGGCCTGGGGCCTCGGGAGTTTCCAGGATGGGATGCCCAGGCAGCTCGCAGGCGTGGAGTCAGGAGTCACCTGGCCACACCGCTGAGCTGCACCCTGACCCAACCCACGACAACATTCTCGGATTCATCCGGCCACACCCGCCAGTTCCTCGGCACACCGCCCAGGGGTCAGAGGTCCTTGTTCATCCTCTGGAGCCCAGCTTATCCACCCAAGGGGTTCTCAATCCTACAAGGTCTCAGAAGCGCCCTTGTTTATTTATTTGTTTTAAACAAGCCCCTTCATTCTGATCCAGACTGGAAACCAAGGCCTGGATGTGCCAGTTCCCATTAGACTGCAAGTTAACACAGTAATACATGGACTGACCCACCCCCAAGGGCCCAGAACTGCCCCCAGCATCAACTCTTCCAGAAAGCTCTGGAACAGCGTGGTGACCTTTAGTGCTGAGGGCAGGGAGACCCTTTGGGAAAGGAGCATCAGGGAGAAGGCAGCACTGGAGTCAGAAAAATACAACTCCTGATGCAGAAGCCCCAAATCCAAGGCCTCTGGCCTCGGTTTCCCCATCCATAAAAGAGCTGTCATGGGAATCAGTTAAAATATGGGGAGGAGGCTTCCCACACCAAGCATGGGCAAACAGCCAGAGGGAGTTGGTCCTAACGGGTGCTCAGTCTCCTACTTGCCAGGCGATCTTGGGCAAATGACTTCACCTTTTGAGCCTCCATTTGCAATCTGTAAAATGGGGATAGCACCACCCATTCCAGTCAGTGGCGCCAACTATAAACAGTGACTCGAACACAGCCAATGTGTCCTGGAGCATCCTGGAGCAAAACCGGACTCCACATCTGCTGCTGAGGGCAAGTGTGGAAGTGCTTTGTCAACATTCAAGTGCTGACCACGTGCCAGACCCCCACTCCTTTCTCTACTTCCTGGCCCTGCAAGGGTCAGGTCCCTAATCCAGGGGAATAATTGCCATGGCGACACTACAATGATGTCAGCTAGTTCCCAGGCTCAGGAACTGCCTCTCCCTCCCTGCTGGGGAAGGAGAATGTGCTTTACTCCTGGCACAGGCCACCAGATAGGGCGGGGCTGGGGTGGAACTGGGATGCAGAAGGGCTGAAGGGAGGTCAGCCTCTCAGGGTTGTGTGTCACTAGGCAAGCCAGTCCCCCTCTCTGGACTGAAGGGGGGGGGGGCCCTGGGGCTAGGGACTGGCCGGCTGATCTCTAAAAACCTATCTAGCTCTGGAGTTTGTGATCATTTTTAAGTACCTGCAGATCTTAACTATGAAGATCAAGATGAGGAAGATTCTCTGTGAGGCCTTTTGGGGCTGGAGTGGGTGGCAGAAGTGAAAGGCAGACAGCCAGGGAGTGTGGGGGAGGACCCTGCCCAGAGCCCCTCCCTCAGGGTTCTCTGGTCACCCAAGCAGGAGTGTCTGCCTTCACCTGGGATGGCTCAGCAGGATGTTGTGGGGGTTGGTCTCTCAGGGAGGAAACCTGCCTAAGGTCATTCAACCCAGTTGTGGGTAGGGACAGGGGGCAACTCTGCTCTGGGGACAGATGACTCCATGTCTGGGAGCTGCCTGGGCCGCCCATTCTGGAAATTCCCCACGCAGGGCCAGGTCTGAGGCCGAGGCTCCTCCCACCCACCAAACAGGGCCCTGGAGGCTCTACTTTCTCTACACGTGTTTATTAATAACTCCCCGGGTCTATCTTGTTCATTATTTATCCCAGCAAAGTAGGTACAAGTAAGTGTTTGTGGCGTGAATGATGGGTGACTTGAATAGACACAAAATATCAAACAGACAGCACAATTTAGAAAGTCACTGTTTTGCTGACCCAACATAAGAGCAAAGATCATGACTTTAACAAAAAATTTTTTCTCCTAAATAAACCAGTATAAAACCAAACAAAACCAGAAAATTTGGGGAGGGGGGAATACAGTGCCATTTCTTTTTTGGGAAAAAAAGAAAATACAGTGCTTACTGTGTGTCTACTATGTGCCAGGCCCACATACTGTGTAACTTACCTCCTTCTAACAGAAAAGAAACCAGCTTGAAAATTAAGACACAGATGGGGAGGAGAGCGAATGAAGGAGGTCAGTGTTGGAAGCAATCATCAAAAGGTCAGTGTCTACTCCCCAGCTTCACTGAGCCCAGGCTCCATTTCCTCCACTTTCTAAGAGAATAGTTAGTAGTGAACATTGATTGAGTCCTGACTCTAGCCAGGAACTGCTCTAAATGCCTACCCTACACTAATATCCTCTATATCCTAATGATGTTGAATGTCCTTCATAACATCTGCTATATCCTCACAACAACTTTTGGAGAAAGATAACCCCCATTTTACAGATGAAGGCACTGAGGCTCGGGAAGGTAAAACAGTTTCCCCAAGGTCACACAGCTAGGGTGGCAGACCCAGGATCTGACCTTTAGCAGGCTCAGGTCAGAGTTACACCAAGTATGCTGCCTGCGGTGCTGGGGACAGACCACACTGTCCAATGCCTGGGACTGTACAGTGCCACAGGGTGGGACGATGGGGGTAAGAAAGATTTATTCTCCCTGAATTTCTGCCTGGGTTCTGGGGGCCACATGGATGTTGCCTCTACTTAGCCGGGAGCTGGGGGAGGGAGAGCTGCCTTGGGGAGGGGGTGCAGCTGGGGCCCCAGCCTCCACTTCCCTGCCTCAGCCAGGCCTGGGCAGGACCACCCACAGGGTCATTTCTGGTCAGTTCTGTGGTTACCTCCCCCGCAGGGGAGGCTCCAGGTGTCCCAGACACCCAAAGTACCACTTTGGGAACCGATCTAGACATAGGAAAACAAATAAAGTTGAACCAGCACTGGAAGCTTCCAGAGACTGAGGAGGGCTGGGACACTCGCATGCAGGTCAGGAAGGGGCCCTGGAAAGAGCCCAAGTGACACCCTGGTGGGGTGGGGCACGGTAGGCAGAAGAGGCTCCCACTTCCCTTCCCGCCAGCCACAAGCTGCTCTAGCCAGCCCTGCCCCCACAGGAGCCACAGGAACCAGAACCTGTCACCACCCCCGGACAGGCCTACTCAGCCCTTCCAAACCTCAGCGCATCAGCCCAGCCCCCAACCGCTAGGCAACTGGGGTTCGCTGTCCCCATTTTACCAGGGAGTTTTGAAAAAAGCTAGGAGAGGAAAGCAGCCAGGCTCAGACCACAGACCCACGCTTGCAAAGAAGACAGGGCCCCGGCCTCTATCCTCTCTGCCTACCCCAGCTTCCAGGCCCAGGAGCCCAATGCAGGTTAGAGGCCAACGCAGGTTAGAGCCATGTCCTCAGTGCAGAGCCGACTCCCTGAGGCCCCCACCCCTCCGCTCAGAGCAGAAGCAAGGTGAGCCCCAGGCCGTTCCACCCAGCTTCCTGCCTGCCCCTCTCAAGTCTGGCTCTAAGTCTCACAAAGTAAGTCCAAAAGGCCCATGACAATCACCAGGGCAGTCAAAATGCAGATTCCTGGGCACTGCCCAGAATTGCCAACCAGAGACAGAGGCCTGGAGGCCCAGGAAGCAAGCAGCAGGCCAGGCCCCAGGGGAGCAGGGAGCAGAGGTGGGGCAGAGGGGGCCTGAGGAGCACAGGGGGAGCCTGAGCTCCTGCTGCTTCCTCCTACATACCCCGCCCCTCAGGGATCTGGTTCCAGGGCCAGAAAGGGCTACAGCCCGTACCTTTGTGGGACTGACAAAAGCTAAGGGAATTAACAGGGTTTGAATTTCTCCTCTTGAGAGTAGGGGTGTGTGTGTGTGTCTGTCCTTCCCTCTGCCTTAGTGTGTGCACACACACTCACACACCTCTGGGAGCTGCACCTTTCCAAACACCTGACAGCCCCTCCCACATCTCTTCTTTCGGGTTCCCCTGTTGGGACCCCCACCACTTGGGGTTCTGACTGCCCCTCTCAAGCTGTGGAGTGAGTACAGGTCACCCTAGACGCTGTGGCCTGTACACTCCCCAAAGCCCCCTCCACCTCTGGCCCCAGGGGGCCCCTCTCCAGGATGGGGGAGTCCCAGGTGGTCGTCAACAGCCAGCTAGAGTCTGGCCAAAATCTTCCACGTACAGATCCAGTCCAGGCCCCAGGGCTGCCTCAGCCCCTCTCCCTGCCAGCTGGACCGCCCGTGCCCTCCTCCACGGGCAGAGGCCCGGTGTCCATACCAGCTCCCCGCCAACTGTGGGTTTCACGCCCGGCAGGGTCCGCATCCGGGCTGGCAGCTGCAAGATGCCGCCTAGGGAAAAACCAGCTTCCCCTCCTTGCTCCTGGCTGTTGTGGGACACGCACGAGGCTTACGCCTCACACCTCATCGGGACTGTACATGGTCAAGATCACTGTACTTGGGAGTGGAAAAACCAGAGTCCGGATCCTGAAACTTCACTCGCTGTGTGTCAACAGGCAAAGCCTGCATTCCCCCATCTGATGGCTCCCAGAGTGCGGTCAAGGATGAATGAGGCAAAAAGTAACTATAAGCACCGTGCTAAGCTATAATTGTCAGCAGTACCAGGAACTAATGTGTTTATTATCAAGGTAGAGATAAGTTCTCCTGAGGGAGCTGGGTGGAACACTGGAAAGAACCCAAGTCTCAGGATTCGACAAACCGGCCTTTAAAGTCCGTAGGATCCCTTCCTTCTTTCTTGGAGTGGGGGTGATCCTGCCAAGGGCTCAGGCTTGTGAGAACCAAGGGCACTCAGATGCCCACGGCATTCGGCACTCAAGACCAGAGCAGTCAACAGTCTTCCCATCCCTGCCGCTACCCCGTATGATCTTAGCAAGTCCTCTCATGTCTCTGGGCTGTTTCCTCATCTGTACCACGGGAGAAACAGCACCTTCCTCCCAGCTGCCAGAGGACACATGCCCTCGGGAGCATAGGGCTGGTTCTCTCTCACAGGACCTCCTGGGACACAAGGACCTAGAGAGGTCCTATAAACGCCAGACAGCAGGAAGCCCACTCCAGGGGGATCAGGAGAGATTCCCCCGTGGCCTCAGGGGGATCCTCTGCCTGCAACATTTTCCTGGCCCTGGGCACCCTGCCCACTTGGCTAAGTCCCTCAAGGGGTCCTTGTAGAAGCCCCATTCCCCCAAAGTCCAGGCCAGGCTGGTCCCAGAAGCCCTCCCAGACCTCCAGATAGAATGTCCTGTTCAGGGCCCAGGACTCTGGATTCTTTGCTTATTCCTCACTGTCCCCTAAATTCAGAGTCTTGCCTATGGCCATAAAGGAAGGGCGGACCTCCGATGGCATGAGCCTGCAGAGGTGAGTCCCCTCCTTTGAGGGGGGTATGAGTGGAGAGGAGGGAGAAGGGAACAGCTTCTTGGAGAGGCGGGCTTCAGAGGCCCCACAAGAAATTTCTGGAGCAGAGAGAATCAGACACCCATACCTCTCGAACCCACTTCCTCCACTCCTTTGATAAGGTCAGGAAATATGAAGTAACCAGGAGCAGGGGTGGGGGCAGGGAGACATGGCAAATGCCAGGATTTCAGCACCTCGGCCCTGCTGAGTAACCACAGTGGGGAGGAGGAAGGAGCCCTTGCCAAACCCAGGGGTTACAACACCCCGCTCTCCCAGGCCACAGGGCCTGCCCCGCCCCCTCACCTGACTCTGGAGCTCACTCTGTTGCTTGAGACGGAGGTTTTCCGGGGTGTCAGCCACCATGGTGAAGGACTGCTTGGGGTAGTGTCTGAGGAACAGAAAGAAAGAGTGAAGGTCACTCTGGGGAAGGGGTAGGAACCTCTGGGCTTCTCACAGGCCTGACTCCCCTAGAAACTTCCTCTTATTCATGGGCAGCCTCTGCCCTGCCCAGCAGCAGGACCACGATGTGTACCAGCCTTGGCTGAGGGGAGGCAAGCATGTCTCAGACTTGGCAGGGGCCGAACCAGGAAGACATATCAGGCCTGAGGGGCTGGCTGGCCATGGAGAGCTGTCCTGAGCCAACGGAAGGCCCTGGGGACAGTGTCTGAGGGTTTCAGATGGCCCTTGTTTGGAGAGAATCCATGTCTTAGAATCTAGCATCCAGAGGGGTTGAGAGGCCTGGGCTGCCCAGGACAGCCCCACCAGCCAGCGGCCAGAACAAAGCATCCAGCTAAAGGCAGAAATAGAGACCAACCAAGCAGAGGAAGGGCAGGAGGGATGTGGAGACAGAAGTAAAGGAGAAAGGAAATGAAACAGACCGAGCAAAGGGAAAAAAGAGAGAGACAAACCAAGAAACAGACTCTTAACTCCAGAGAACAAACTGATGGCTAACCAGGGGGCAGGTGGTTGGGAGATGGTGAAAAACGTGATGGGGACTAAAGAGTGCCCTTGTGATGAGCACTGGGTGATTAAAATAAAAACTTAGGGGCGCCTGGGTGGCCCAGTGGGTTAAGCCTCTGCCTTCAGCTCAGGTCATGATCTCAGGGTCCTGGGATCGAACCCCACCCACATCGTGCTCTCTGCTCAGTGGGGAGCCTGCTTTCCCCTCTCTCTGCCTGCCTCTCTGCCTACTTGTGATCTCTCTGTCAAATAAATAAATAACACCTTTTAAAAAATAAATAAATAAAATAAAAACCTTTAAAAAAAAAGTAGTAAAGGGGAATGGGACATGCATATCCAGGGTTGGGGGGAAGTGGGGAGCTTCCTGGAGGAGGTGGTAAGAGAGAAAATGCACACAATCCAGAGTGGTGTTATGAAGGGCTAACGTGGTCTTACTTAACTGGAAGGTAGGTGAGACATTGGCTTGACGTCAGAAAATCAGCTTGAGGCCCTCAAGTGACAGGTAACGCTCTAACAATGGCTGATGTTTGCCCAGTGTCTCAGTTCATCAAATCCCCACAAATGCCCTATTTTCCTGCTTTGACAGAAGGGAGAACTGAGGTTCAGACAAGTTAAACAATGTGGCCAAGGCATGGGGCCAGTAAGTCATGGCGTCTAAATTTGTACCCCGTGTCCCCAGGGCCCAGCATCCTGAACCAAACTCCCGACCCCAGACACAAGGCAGACCAGGAGCCTGTGCCCCAGAAAGAGGGCTGGCTTGGAGGTAAACAGGACCCAGGGCAGCCCTCAGAGGAAAACCCACAGGGACCTCCAGGATCAGGCAGGTCGTGTCCCCTCAATTCCCAGAAGAGGAAACAGTGTTGTGATACAAGGCACTTAGCACTTAGCTGATTTCATAATTCATTTATTTATCACACTGGTTTCTTGTCCTCTCTCTACTTCTCTATGATGTGAGGGGTTTCTGGTCTCTTTTGTCCACAGATTTATCCCAAACTCCTTCAAACAGAACCTGGTGTTAACAAACTGTGTGTTGGATAAATGAAAGTCCCACCAGGCACTGAAGCTGGGTCAAGACTAGAACTTGAGTCTCTCACGTCCCCCTGGGTCATGCCAAAGGTCCCCAGCAAACCAGCTAGAGGAGCGGCAGCCCTGAGTCACTGGTCTGTGGGAATGTGCTGGAATGGGAAATGGCTGCGGGTCCACGTGGGCTCCAGATACCTCAAGGGTTGGCCAGCGGCTTCTCTGAGCAGGAGCTGAGGTCTGGCCATTTGCAGCCCTGGGTGACGGACATCTCACCACGACCGTGACCACCTGCAGATCCCCGCATCACAGACTGTCCTCAGGTAAGTAGTGGAGCGCCTCCTTCCAGGCATGTTCAACCCTGGCTGGCCTGGCAGACAGGCCCTAGAGCTGGACGTGAGCTGCCCTCCTACTGTGTGCTCACCAAAGCTGGAAGGTTCATGGGGCGGGGGGTGAGTCGCCCTGAGCAAGAGCTACCTGCGACTCATGACTTCCCCGAGCCACCACTTGTGAAGGGCAGGACTGGGGTTTGTGGAACCCAAACCAAGGTGGGGGAGGGGTGACTAGACACAGAGCTGGGCTCTGGCCCTGCCACGGACTCGCTGGGTGAGTTCAGCATATCCTTTTCTTCCTGGGCTAGTTTCACTGTCCAGGACCCAGGTGCGCCCAGCTGTGCCCCTCCCCCAGCCTCCCCTGCCCCACCTGGGTCCTGCCTCCCAGTTAGGCCGAGCGCTCTGCAGAGCGAGGGAGGGAGAGGACAGAAAAGTAAACACAGGTGCCTACAGCTGGTGAGGCTAAGGCTACCACAGGAAAGCTGGGCCACCCACAGCCCAAGTGCTCCATTCAAAATTCCTCCGCAGTTCCAGAAAAAGGGAGGGCCCACTGGGAGTCTGTTACTGGAGATTAGGAAGAGACGGGCAGGAGGGATCCAAGTTAGGATCTCTAGCAGAACTGGCTGGCCCTGAAGGCCTAGGAGGGAAGGCTGGAGACAGGACCCTCCCACCACATCAGGGCCCTTCAGAAGGTGTGAAGGTGTCCGCAGGTGCTGCAGATGTCACGGGGTAGGGGGTGTGGAAAGGAGAGCATCACTGGTAGAGAAGGGAGGTGGGCTCCTAAAGCAGGGGGACCAAGGGGAAGACCTCCCGGGCAGCTCTGGCCAGTTTCCAGATGACGCCACTCAGCACCGGGTGGGGAAGGGTGGCGGGCAGCAAACACATGTGCTCCCAAGCCAGTCTACACACCTGGGCTTTCCCATCTGCCTGAATGTCCAAGGTTTAACATGGAGTGCCAGTTCTGGTGGCCCAAGGACAGCCCGACACAGGTGGCTGACATGCGCCCCCCTCCCCACCGCTACTCTGCAGTTACTCTGCTCCCTTGTTCCTCAAACCCACAGAATACAGAGACGGGCCCTCCGCAGTGGCGCGTGTCTCCGAGATGCAGGGGCCGGTGGGTCCCTGTCTCTGTCGCTGCACCAGAGCAGTATTAGGACAGCCCCCCACCCCTGCAACACGCAGCAAGGGCCTCTGGATGGGACCGTCAGGTGTTTCACCTTCACTTTGGAACCACCATGACCCACAGATCTCAGCCCCCCACAGCCAATCCCATCAGAAGGGAAGGGGAGACCAGCCTAGACGCTCACGCAGCTTAATCTGGAGGGAAGGGGGGGAAAGAGGGGGAAGATTTTAATCCTGCATCAGATTAAACAGATTAAAGAGGAGCTCCAAAACCTCCAATCTCTTAGCCCGCTGCCTCCTGGACCCCAACCCTGGACCAGAGGAGGGCAGGCAGACATCTCTTCCTCCTGCTAGGTCAAACCTGTCCCCTCCCCACATTCCCGGGCCCCTGGCGAGACAACCCTGCCTTTCCCTTCCCCTGCTCACTACGCTTCAGGTTCCCATGGCAACCCCATCCTCAGCTCCAGGCAGGAGAGCAGAGCAGAAGCAGACAGAGAGAGGCTGTGGGGGTGGGGGGAGAGGCGCAGACTCGAGGGTGTCCTCAGCCGCAGAGGAGCCCAGGAGGGCAACACCAGGAGGCTGCGAACTCAGGATCCTCGCAGACAGTGTCAGTAAGGAAGACAGGTGCCACGAGTGTGTTTCGGGGTGGGAGGGAGGATGCACAAATGTGGGTGCTGTGCCCTTCCCCCACCCACACAACTGCCTTCCAAGAAGCCTGCAACTGAGCTGACCTGCTTCCAGAGATAACTGCTGGGAATTCTACCTTTTCCATCCCTCTCTGTCCCTAGGCTGGAGCTCTCCCCACCCATCACCCACAGATCCCAGTCAGGATGAACGGATGTGAGTGGAAGCCAGTGCAGGGTGCTGAGGCCGCTGAGGTCACGAGGGGTTACCACCTCAGCTAGTGACCCTGCTGGGACCCCAGCCCCACCAACAGCCCGGGTCCAGGGTGGGAAGAACTGGGTGTCCCAACCCTACCTGGAGCTCGGTGCAGAGCACAGCTGTTCTTTGTCCCTTCTGGGGCCAGGCCGCACCCAGCCCCTTGTTTATTTCTCCCAGCAGTGGGCCCTCAGTGATGTCCCTCCCCGCCTCTGACTGCTGCATCAGCTGCTCTGGGGAAGAGAGGGGCATGGAGACAGCCCAAGGCCACTAGGAAGGGAAGCCTTGGGGGTAGAGCGGGAGGCCAGGGGAAGGGATCTAGCAGCTATGAGGGCAAGGACAGGGACCAGCAGGTCAATCAGGCAGTGGATGGCAGCGGCGAGGACCTCTGCGAGAATTTACAGGCACACCAAGTGACTTCTTGATAAGACTATGTCCTGTGCCCCTTCTCTCTTGAAATCCGCCACAAGGCTTTGGGCTGGAAAAGGCAGGCATTATCATCGTGCCCATTTTACAGATAAAGAAACTGATGCTCAGTGTCAAGGACAAAGACTTTGCCCAGTGCACTCCCCCTCCCGACAAGGGCCCCGGCCATCTAGGGAGACGCTGACATCTCTCTCAGATGGACCCCAGCCCACACCGCTAGCTCCCAGAGCTCTGGGGAAAGATGCACTTAGCAGGGTGGGTCTCGAGCAAAGTTCTTTATCTTTCAAGCCCAACCAGTTCCTAAGATTGGTCATTATGACACCCTCTGGGAGTCAGAAGGCTGGTAGACAGTCAGAAGCCACTTACTCCTTAATACTTTTCTAAAGCAGGGGCGCCTGGGTGGCTCAGTGGGTTAAGCCTCTGCCTTCAGCTCAGGTCATGATCTCAGGGTCCTTGGATCAAGCCCCGCATTGAGGGGAGCCTGCTTCCCCCTCTCTCTGCCTGCCTCTGCCTACTTGTGATCTGTCAAATAAATAAAAATCTTAAAAAAAAAAAAACTTTTCTAAAGCAGGTGTCTACAGAGGGGAGAGTGACCTGCATGGATGTAGGAGAAGGGTCCTCTGCCTCTCCTGGGTTTGCCCTAAGGACCTCTGAGTCAGCTTCCTGTTCAGAAGGGCAAGGAGGGCGGGGAGGATGCTGAGAAGCTGAGGCTCCTGCTATAGACACACTGGTGACAGGGATAGCTTAGAGGACACAGCCCTGCTCCGCTCCTACCCTCAGCAGCATTCCAGAGGCAGAGCCAGAACCAGAATAGACCAGAGATCCTGAAAGCCCGCTCCCCCTTTCTACAAGCAACCTGGCCCCTTCCAGCCTTAGACCCCTTCAAAAACCACAGCTTTTTGTTCAGGGAGGAACAAAAATACATCAACAAAAGCAACAAGGAGCCTTTGGTTTTACCAAAAGAAAAAAAAAAACAAAACAAAAACCCAGCCCCTACATCCTGCCTGTGGAAGGAGCTGCTGATTCCCCTGCTGGGAAAACTGCCCATGTTGGGGGGGGGGGCTCCTTTCTAACCCAGTTTCTCACCCGTCCCCCAGGCCTAAGGGGCTGAAATGGTGGGGACAGGAAGCAACAAGGAAGCATTGTTTGACCAGAGGGAAAAAAAAAATGAGCAGCCAGAAAGATCAAGGCCAGACATGAAGAAGAACTTACCAGCCCTCAGGCATGAAAGACAGGATGAAAAATCAAAGCTGGTACCCATCCCTGATGGCAGAGTACATAAAGAGAAATGATTCTGCCAAGGTGGGGAAGGCATGCAAACACTGGGCCTCAGTTTCCTCATCTCTAAAATGGGCAGTTAGGAAACAAATCCCTGAGGTCCCTTGAGGCCCCAACATCTCTGAGTGTAAGGCTTTAGGGATGAGTGTGGTGGTGGTGGCGGGGGGGGGTACTGGCCCTTTGAGTCTGCCTTCTCCATTCCAAACACACATCACACACACACCCCTCACCCCCGCTCCCAGCCAGCACTGCACCTGCTCCCTGGGACATTTGATCCTACTGTTCCCAATCAGAGGCAGGAAAGAAGGAAGTAGGAAAACTCCAGGCCCTAGTCCCCGATTTACCCACCAATGCCCCATCCCTAAGTGTAGCTGGGATTCGGGACAGTTTGTTAGAACCCAGAGACATTCTGAGCCGGCAACCCCAGGAGCACAAGCCCCACCCCACACTCTGACACCTGAGGGAAGGAGCAGGGGGACAGTCCCTTGTTCTCCAGAGTCGGCCATCTCCATCCGCCCTCTTCAGCCCCTCACCATACAGCTCAAGGAAACTGAGAGAAGGATCTGGAAGTCTGCAGTCAGTGAAGAAGTGGGGAAGGTGCTTCTGAGTGTCCTCCCTTCCTTCCCCAGCCCATGTCCACTTCCACACTCAACACCCCCAAAAGCTGGTTACCCTCTCTGCCTGGCGTGTGCGGCCTCCGTGAACTCCTGGCTCCCAAGGAGGAGGGAACAGGCCCATTTCTCCCCACTCGCACCCCACCCACCCATGACCTCCACATTCCTGGACTATGTGCATGGAGACAAAGGGACAGGTTTGTGGGTGTGGACACATCAGCCCCACTTTCACAAAACATAGTTTACAAAACAAATAATCGAGGGCATAAATGTTTCTCTAAACAAGGGAGCCAGCAGGTTAGAGGGAGCCCCACCTACCTAGAAGTTTCGCGAAAGCATTTGAGGGTGGTTCTTGTACCTGCAGCCACTGTGCAAAAGCGGAAAGGCACACCTCTCCCTTGCCACAGCAGTGCCAGGGTGTCTGGGCCCGGGAACTGTGAACACACACGCCGCCCATTCCATCTGACTCCTTGGCATTTCTCCCCAGCCCCACACCCAAGCATGTGCGTCTGGATACGCACGAGGCACGTGTTTATTAAGGCCCCGTCTGTAGGGGCCCCTGACCGCCCAGCAGGCTGGCTGTAAGCTCTCGCCTGAGTTCTCTTTCCTGTCTTACCCTGAAACAAGTCTGGTGCAAGGAGAGAAACAGAAGAGGCCTTTTTGCTGCTCACAGTCACTTTCTGGAACATTTTAAAATCTCAGTCTTGAGAAGCCACCAGGGAATGACAGCCAGCCTTCTTCTCTCTTGACCACCTCCCCCTGCAAGATTCTGGCTCAGGGACTGGCCAAAAATAGGCACACCATAGAAGCCTCCCTGCACACCAAAGTCACACCCTCACCCACCAAGGGGGACAGTCCCACTCCCTGGCAAAGTGCCAGGAGAGATCACCAGCCCCTCTGGGGAAGACCCAGAGGGGCTGAGAAGGAAGCAAGCCAGGCCTGAGGTCTACAAGGCAAGGCCGGGAGCAGGGTGAGGGCACAGCTATCCCCTGGGAAACCCCAAGATTTAGAAACCTGAATGCCACTGAAGGATGGGGCCAAAGGCAGAAAGGAAACAGGAGGGAATAAGAGCCCTGTGAGAGCACAGGGCGGCCTGGCCCGTGGCAGGGGCTCGCCCTCTTTGGTCTAGGGACCGGCATCCCTAAGATATCCCTAAGACACCCGGCATCCATGACAGGGGAGAAACTGAAGGTCAGACAGGTGCAGAGGGTACTTCCTGCAGGCCAGGCCTACTACATTTGGCTTCTTCTGGACTCACCAGATCAGGTGTGCGGGCCAGACCCACTGCTCAGCAGACGCCCTCCCAGCTGAAGTGAGAAAGGCCTGGGGGAATGAGGGGCCAACCTGCTTCTCAGGCAGGGCGGGGAGGGGGGTGGCAAGAACCTCGGGGAAACAGCACCCAGGAAGAGATGCTTCATCTTCTGTCCCTCCCTGGAGACCCCACCACCTGCAGGAGCCCTCACCCCACTTACTGTGACCTCTCTGGGAGAAGGCTGAACAGCTAAGCTGGGACTCTGGCACTAGGCTGAGAAGATATGGAGAAAACAAGGATAAGCCTCTGATTTCTCTCGCCAACTCCCATCGCTCACTGAATTCTAGGCTACTAGAGTCCGAGGCAGAGACATGAGAAAGCATCAATCCCTGCCACCCACGCCAGGCTCGGGGCTCTGCCACACTTCGGTCTTGGAGGGACAGAGGCTCAGCAGATGCCCCCAAAGGAGCCTTGGGGCCCGGAATCCAGCTTCACGTGGTCCAGCCACGAAGGAGTTAAACTGCCCCTGGCCTCTGGCTTCACTGAACCCCACCCCACTCCCCAACGGAGGGAGGAAGTGGCAGAGAATCAGGGCTTGTGCGAGCCCTTAAGAATTCTAAGAATGTCCCATTTCCCTTGGGGGGTGGGGGGGGTTGGTGGGGGAAGAGGATCCGTGGAAGCTAATAGAAAAGCAGAGGCAGCTGCAGAAGAGCCAGGACCAGGCTGTGACCCTCCTTCTACCCAGGGGCAACCTTCCCAGTGCCCCAGTCTCGCGCAGAAGGGACAATGACCAAGCTGCTTCCTCAGCTGGAGATTTTGGTCAATCTGCTTCTCCAGCACCTGGCACAGGTTGGCATAGAACAGCAGGCAGGCAGTTAAGTGCCTGATGGATGTCCAAACCCCAGGGACAAGACACGGTGAGGTTAAGAGGTGACTGGGGTGCTATAAGCAAGAGACAGCCTTTCAAAGGGGTTTCAGCCCCCCAGACCTTTTAGCCAAGTCCCATGGTTCCCCTCCTTGGTCAACTTCAGCTGCGAAGAGCCTCCTGACTGAGAAAAAGCCAGGACTCAAGTCAGATCCTGGCTTTTTCTGAATTTTCATGTTGCCGCTACTTAGTAACTTGACCTTTTAAAGCCTTCATCTGCTAAGGGTGCCGTGAGGTCACACACACGTGGCAGCCCCCACACAGAGTTTACACTTGCTACACAGGAGGTCAACTTGAAGGCGGCGAATTTTCTGGAACTGCCCAGGATGGGAAGGGGGTATGCCGGATAGAGTCGCACCCCACCTCTCCCTACCTCCCTGCAGCAGGACAGGCAGCAGGTCCCAGTAGGTCTCAGTGCAGCAGGAACAGAGCCAGCCAACTCCACTGGGAAGGACAAGGATTCTACAGCCAGGAGGGAAGAGATCTAACCCTGGGGCCAGGACCCCCTGCAGGCTGCCCCCAGTTTTCAGGGGGCAAACATCAGGAAGGGCTAGAGCCAGAAGCCCCCAAAGCCTAGGGCGCCGACCCTCTGACAGGGGGCAGGGGAGATAAAGAAATGAGGGAAGGCAAACACAACAGGGCAGAGCACCGTGTCCTCAAGGGCCACGTAGGGCCCCTCTCTCACAGTAGGGCGCAGTGGAGGGAACATGCTTGCCTAGCAGAGAGCAGCATGGTTACTGGGTCTGAACCAGCCTCTCACTGGCCACATCATTGCGGGCAAGTCCATTCCCTTCCCCAGCCTCAGTTTCCCTCCCTGTAAAAAGGGCCTATGAGCTGCCCTTACTTCATCCTGCCCAGGTGAGGACTAAAGGTGATGAATGCTTATTCCTGCGGCAGTGCTGGGCAATATCCCCAAACAGGAGGGGGGGGGACTCACACATTGCAGTAGAGGGTAGGAGGGGGGAGGGCGGCAGGACTCACGCGTTGCAGTAGGGGGTCTTCTCGTAGCCCTTGTAGTTCTTCATGTTGAGTGTCATCTTGCAGGTCTCGCAGTGGAAGCATGCTTTGTGCCAGAACTGGGGACAGAGGCAGAGGGAGCACAGCTGTGAGACACTGGGACTCAGAGAAGGGGGACTCGGGCCCTAGGAAGGAGCACTCCGTCCCAGGGACTGGATCACAGCCTCAGGTCACAGGCTCCGGCAGACATGCTGGGTGAGTGGGGGGAAAAGGCCCCCAGAAGGTTGGTTCCGCCTCCCCCAGACCACTTCTGCCGCCCGCACCGCCGCCCCCCCCCCCACCGCAAGCTGGAGAAGCCTCATTGCTGATGCAAAGTTGCACCAGGGTTGCTAAGAAGCCATCACTGCTGAACTTGAAGGGGCAGCTCTGCGGCCTTGACAAGGTCTAGAGAAGCCGACGGAGGCGGGCCCAGTGGCCATGTCCTGGGCAGGAAGCCTGGCACGCCTTACTCCCACTCCAGCCCCACCCCCACCGCAAGGCTGTTCCTGCTGTCACCTCCCACCTCCTTGGGGCTCCCTGTGACCACGGTGTGGTGAGTGCCCCAAGCTCTGGTCACCACACCCATGCCCTTTCTACCTTCCCTCACCCTTCTCCCAGATCCAGCCAGGGAACTGGTAGGAGAGCCCCCCACAGGGGCTCGCTGTCCCTGGAGGCACTACAGAGCTCTGCTTGGAGGCTTATGGCGCAGTGGGGACATCAAGTCAGGGCCCAGGCCCCTAAGCCATTTCCACGTAACAATGAGGAGTCAATGAGGAATCACCTATACAGGGGCGCCTGGGTGGCTCAGTGGGTTAAGCCTCTGCCTTCGGCTCAGGTCATGATCTCAGGGTCCCGGGATCGAGCCCCACATCGGGCTCTCTGCTTGACAGGGAGCCTGCTTCCCCCACTCTCTCTGTTTGCCTCTCTGCCTACTTGTGATCACTCTCTCTGTGTCAAATAAATAAATAAAATCTTAAAAAAAAAAAAAAAGAAAGAAAGAAAGAGATCACCTATACAGCACTCAGCACAAGCACTCAGCTTGGCCCCTCTGGAACGTTAGGTGCTGGGCACTGCGACAGGTATAAACCCACCCCCAGGGGCTCAGCAGCTCCCAGTGGAGGTCTGTGTGTGCTGGGGAGCAGGCAGGGGGTGGGGTGCCTCTACTGGCCCAACCACAGCTACGGCGCACGTGCAAATGAAGGGAGCAAACCATGGGGTGGGACAGGGAACACGAGGGGAACAGGGAAGACGAGGAGCGAAGGGGGACTGGTGCAACAGAAGTGCCCCCATCCTGAGAAATGTTGATCCTCACTGGCAGGCAATCCCCTGCCAGGGAAATAGAGATCCTGCCCCAGGCAGCCCAGAAAGAGATCAACACCAACCTGGAGTCCAGCTTCCAGGATCCCAGAATCTGGGCTATCTGCTGACCTGGCTGGCCCCTCTCTGCCCCATTTCCTAGTGGTCAGAGGAAGGCACTCCTGACCCCTCAGAGAAGGAGGCCGGAAGCCAGGGAAAGGCCTAGGGGGAGACTTCTGGAGGTGCCCAGCACAGAGCTGGCTCTCAGCCCCGTGTCAAGGAATTCCCCCTAGTCAGTGCTCTTCCAAATGTGTTGCCCAGCCAAGGGGCGCTCCTGGGTCACTCTGGAGGAGGGGGGGCAGAAAAATGGAAGCTGAGAGGCTAGGATACCACCTCCTCAACCCTGGCCCCCCTCAACCAGAAACGAGGGGATAATCTGGGGGTAAGAGCCACTTTCCCTACCAAGGAGACTGGCCCAAAGTGGAGGAGTAAATGAAGTGGTAGGAGATCCACTCTTTACGGAAGAAGGCCAGCAGGAAATCTGGAAGCAAAGGCATGGCTGCTGTCAGCTTGGCCTTTACCCCCACCTGGGCCTATCCCAGAGCCCAGCCCCAACTCCTCCCAGTACGAAACCCCTACACACACAACCTGGCTGGAAAAACGAGACCAGGGTAGTCCCGGCCCCCCATCAGTGCCCCCAAGTGACAGCCCCCCTCTCTACCCCAGTGCCTGGGAGGTGCTGGCAGAGTGCCCCAGCCCTGTCACCACCCAGTCTGCCGGCCTCTGCCTGCCTAGCGGCACAGGCCCCTTGCCTGGGCCTCCACCTCCCCGCCACCCCCTCAGGGGCCTGCCAGGAAAAACATTCTCTGGAATCCGGACCATGACCCACTTTCACACTCACATACGCAGGAATATGCACTGTCCTAGGACTGGGGACCTCCAAAGCTGCCTCCTGACTGACTTGGGGGAGACACAGGGCAAGAAGGAGATAGCCAGGTCCCCGCACCGGGGGGGCAGGGGGCTGGCGAACCCCTCAGGAAGGGGGCAGGGCATACTGGAAAGGCTGGGGGTACAAGACTGCCACAAGAAACCTCCCAGCTGCCTTCTGGAGGAAGGGAAGCCCCCAGGAGGGGAAGGCGCCCATTTCCATGGACGGTTCATCCCCCCTCACCCTCAGAGACCCCATACTCCGTCGGGCGAGAAGCAGTGGGGGGCTCAGGAGTGGGATCATGGAAAGGAGAGTGGACTGACGGCCTCCAGCGGCGCTACTGATCTCAGGCTCCCTGCCTACAGAGTGGTCTCATGGAGGTGCGCGGCGGGGGCGTGCAAGGGACGGGGTGACCCAGATGCAGGCTCCAAGCCCGGCAGGGAGAGCCGCTTCCAGTCATTTCCCTCCTCCCTCTAGGGGAGAGCTCCAAGGTTAAAGAAAATCCAGTAGCTCCGACTACTGTGTCCTCTTTGGACAGGGGAGGGGAGGAGTGGAAGGGGGAGCAGACGATGGCCCCTGGGGGTCAAGCTGGAGCTGGGGAACCCAAGGGGATCCCAAGATGAAGGGCACCCCATCCCTGTTTCCATCAGGTCTGGTAAAGGACGCAGGGAAATCAGTCAGTATAGCCCCACAATGACCTGTCTGCCTCCCTCCACTGCAACGATCGCTGCCCTGGCCCAGAGCCAGAGATCCCCCACCCTTTCCTGGAGGCCCCAGGTAGATTTCAGAGAGGCATGCCTGAGACTCTAGCCTCAGGGGAGCAAAGTACACCTCTGGGCACTGCTCTAATCCTTCCTGCTGCCTGTAGGAAGTCCGCTGTTTCCCTTGTCACAAAAACCAGAGCTGGGGGGCCAGTTAGAAGCCTCTCAGCCCCTCTCCAGGCTCCAGAGGTGCCCACGACGCTCCTCCACCTGCACCTCTAAAGCTGCCATCTGCTCCACTGCAGACCCATTCCACAAGAAGGCAAATGGAGGCTGATGCGGGCAGAAGCCAGATCCCCCACACTGGTGGAGGCTTGGGCCAGCCTCTCTCTCTGGAAGCACTGTGCAGCGGGGGGAAGGGGTTCTCACGGCTCTGGGGGAGCGGGACGTGGCAAACCTCAGGTCACTGTGCCTGCAGCCTGGCACCTTGCCCTCTGCGCCTAGCCCAGGCTGCCCGGGGTGGCCATGAGTCAGGGTTAGAGGGTGAAGCCGTCCCCTCCCTTCCTGTTGCCAAGGGTTACAGAGACTCCCTCCTCTGGGAACAACACCAGCTATACCCTGGCCAGGCTGGGGTCACCACCCTAGCTCTGCTGGCCACCTGGGCTACTGGCTTAAAGGCACAGACCCTGGCTGCACCTCCCCAATTCTCGAGGGGGAGATTACCATTCCCAGTGCCCCAGCTCCACACAGGAGCCCAGGCCCAGAACATTCCTCAGGCAGGGGTCAGGAAGTGGACCACCAAGGACATTAGGAGACGTGTAAATCAAAGTACCTTTTGCAAACACAGAACAGACAGAAAAGCTGAGCACAAAGAACTTTAGATTTGAATTCCAGCTCTGGCTGAGGGGGAACAGCCACATGATGTCGGAGCCTCCACGGACGGGGTTCATAATTTACAGGAGCAATCACATCTGTTTTGTGAAGACGGAACCTGGCGCGTCAGTCAGTAGTAGCTACTGTGAACGGATGGTCACGACGATCGTGGGGTGCACTGAGCTTCAGCTAGGAAAGTGGGGCACCGCGGCTATCCGACTTGTCCTCTCTCACGTCTAGCCCAGCCACCTTCTACCTTGCTGCCCCCTGTGGCGGGGTGGTTCAGACCACCAGAGCACAGCGCCCTCTGGCCAAGGTGTTCCAAGGGGACGGAGCAGTCCACCAATCCTCTACCCCTCCCAAATGTCTCCACCAGTTTTCAGGGTCCTGGCAAAGTAAGCCAGGGGACAGCATCAGATCCCCAGATACAAATGCTTCCCCAGCAGGGTCCAGGACAAAACTCCAACCTTCTCCAAACGTCGAGGAAGTTCTGAGACACAGACTCCCCTCCTCCCCAAAGGCCCCACAGCAACCATTCAGAGAGCCCGGCACAAAGCAGGTGATCAATAAATATTTGCTGAATGAATGAGTGAATGAGGTCACCCCATTTCTCCCCCAACTCTAAGCCTAGAAGTCCTCTGGGAAAGCACATTCCGACCTCCCTCCTCAAATGCCATCAACAGCAATGCATATTTATTCAGCATGCAAAGCATGCTGGGAGCTGCAGATTGGGGACAGGTTGGGGGCAGGGTGGCCTTCAGAGGTGACACAGCCTTTACCCACCTAAGCCTTTGAGAGGTAAGTCTCAGGGAGAAGAAAAAGCTAACATTTAAGGACGTTGCTTGTGCTCTGGGTCACAAGGTGAGCTATGTACCACAGGGAAATCATAGTGAAATGCGTCTAATTTGACACTCCCCTATAGTAAATGGGAGGCCTTGGGAAGTTTTAGCAACCACACCTATGAGACGGAATGCTTCCCCCTCCCAGGTCTCGGTCGTCTGGGCACCAGGTCCCTAGTCCAAGCACCTGTCCTTACTGTATAGAGAGAGTTGAGAGGAGTAAGTCTTACACCTGAATATTCTAGGCCTGCTGCTCAGTGGAGCTGGGGCCACAGGTCTCCCCAAGGCTGCCACCTGTAAGGAGGGCTCTAAAAAGGAGGAAGAACCAACTTCCACTTCTCAGGGCAACCCCACCTGAATGTCTTCTTCTAGGTAGGGCAAGAGAACCCCTGGAGAAGCACCTTATAGAATCCCTACCCCCTCACCTCTGGCACCCAGCACCAAAAGACTATAAGGGAGCTGGATGTGGGGCTGGACCGAGTATCCCAGAAAGACAGGCAGGACAAAGACTGCATGTACCACATCCCCTGCAGGCACTTTAGTACACTGCCCCACCTCCAAGGAAATGAATCATTCATACCCATAAGACAGATGGTGAATACTGAGGCCTAAAGCCATTCATAAAGCTGGTGGGAGCAGACCCGGAACTAAGACCAAGTTTCCCAACTTCTGGCCTAGCAATCCCTCCACCATATATAGCTTCTGCCTTATACAGGTCAAAGAGCCTACAGCCTCTTCCCAGTTCGTGGCTAGGGAGAGAAGGGGGGGGGGGGGGGGGGATTTGCGGCACATGGAACGCAGAGGCCAAAATGCAAGATGCAGAGGCCAAAACAGGCAAAACCCCAATGTGCAAGGACAGTTAGCTCTTCAGTCTGTGCCTCCAAGCTCAAGTCCTGCCCCCCAGAAGCTGGCAGGGTCTTTGGGAAGCTCAACACCCCCACTGCTTATGCCCACAATATGGCCCTCCTCTTCTGCCCAGCCAAACCCAGGAAAGACAATGAAAAGCAGAAACACATACATATGCCCATGTATCCCATATGCCCATGTATCTCCTTCCTCCAAGAGCAAGTTCAATTTTATTTCAGGACCTGGGAGCCCTACTCCCACTGCCCTGACTCAGAGGCTAAAGATCACCGGGGAAGCTCCAATCCCAAGGGGGAGGGAAGAGACAGAAAGTAGCCAATGAACTATCCTTTCCCAAACAAAACCTGGCTCCAGGTGCTCAATGAAGTTGGCCCCAGGGCTCTGCACCCTTCTTCTATCCCATGCCCCTCAACCCCTAACAGTTCAGACAAATCAGAGGGGTATCTGGATCTGGGGTCAGCATTGGGAGGTGGGTGAAAGGCCTGCCAAGGAAGGAGATAAAATCACAGAGACTTCTCCTCCAGAATGGGGAGAAGATGCAAAGGGGAGGCATCGCCTTAGGATCTTAGGGAGCTTACAAGGCCAGATCCTACCCCAAACTGCTGGAAACACCCAGTTCTACTCTTCACCCCCCTCCAAAAGTATAATAGCAACCAGATGAACAAGTCTAACATGGATGGGGGGGGGGAGTGACGACGCATAAGGGCCCCTAGGGGACAGTGAATTTCTAGAAGGCCACCTTTCGCTCTCCCTAACACCTCCCCCTTTTCTTGGCTTCCCCTGAACTCAGCCAACCCCACCCTCCATTGGGGAAACCTGCTTTGAAAAGTTAGCTCTTTGTTCTACAAGCCGGTCTCAGGCTCTGAGCACAATTTCAGGAGATCTCTGCAAAGCACCCTCCACCCTACTCCAGCACCCGACCCCGCCCCGCTCTGGCTGGGCAGCCCAGCCCCGGGAGTTGGCTTCTAATTTGAGGTGGGGGCTGGGAAGCTATGGAGGAAGTCCGCTAGTCCATTAAGCGCGGAACCACCGAGGGGGGTGCAAGTCGTCCAAAAAAGGGGGGTCTTGCAGTGGGGCTTGGGTCCTTATTCAAAGCCCAGTTCACCAGATGCAACACTCGCCGGCTGATAGCCCCCGCCCCCGGTCTCCAGGCCATGAAGTCCGGCCATTTGCGGCCAGAGCTGACGGTTTCGCTGGGCCCCCCAGCCTCTGCCCCGCCCCCCCGTCGCCCCCTCCCCCAGCGACCCGCGCTTCCGCCTACTTGGCGCTCAGCGCGGCGGGGAGAGGGAGCGGCCGTCTCCTCTCACTCTCCCGGCCCTAGGGGGCGGGACTGCACCCCTAACCTTCCCCCACCCCCTACCCCCCCACCCCGGGGCCTGGCCACCCTACTCCTCTTCCGTCCTCCCAGCCTCAGGGCACAGAGCTCTACTATTCGCCAGTAGTGGCTGCCGCCACGCGTGGACTCCTTGCCGCGCCGCAGATCTCCCGGTTTCCAGGCTGGGGTCTGTCCCCACACCCCATGACACCGCCCTCCGTCCCTCCTCCCGGGATCGTGGGGATGAGGCGGCACAGACCCGGCCCTTCTCTCCTCCCCTAATCCGAAGCATTGCTCGGGGATTGCAACGACGTGCCTCCCGATCCCGGGGCTCACCTTATCCAGACAGTTCACCTTCTCCGTGGGGTACACGATCTTGCCGCACCGGGCGCAGTTGGGATTCATGGCTCCGGGAAGGGCTGGGGCGGGGACGCCCGAGCTCGCGCGCGTTCTCTTTCCCCGGAGCGAGCTGGCGGGAGGCGGCCGCGGGTGCAACTACTCAGGCAGCGGCGACGGCGGCTGGAGCTAGGAACTGGCCTCCGCCTCCGCCCTCCTTCCCCTAATAAACACAGCGGGGAGGAGGGGCTGCACCGGGGCGGGGACGCGCCGCGGGCAGGGGCGCGCACGGGCGGCGCGCTTCCCGGGCTACGTGGGGCTGCGCGGGGGCGGATTCCGGGGAGGGCGGCGGGGCCCGGGGCGCGCGCCTAGGTGCGTCTCGAGGGTCCCCCGTCAGCGGGCGCTCCGTAGCAGAAGATGCCCGCGAGAAGTGCGCCCGGAGGCCAGAGACCCGTTGGCGCTGGAGGCGGCGCGCAGCCGGTGTGGCTGCACATCTGGGGCGCCCGGGCTGCGAGAGGCGGGCCAATCTCTCGCACCCGTCGAGGGTGGGGGCTGGAACCCTTCCGAACGCGGGATTGGATTCACCAGATTCGGGGACTTTCCTTTGTGCTGGTCGATACCTGGCGTGAACCTGCGGACGGAACGGGAAGCCCCTACCCCGCCCCTCCTTTAGCCTCCCTTCCCCCACATCCTTTCCCACATTTGTAGGGCGGAACCCGTCCCTACAGCCCGGACGCGGCGCAGGGCAGCCCTGGCCGGTTCTTCCTTCCCTGCGCTCTGCCTTGCAGCTTTCCTGGGGTTCTCCGGGTCCCGACACCTTCTGTTTTCCGCCTGGCCCCCCCCTTTCTTCCTTCATCCCTTTCTCCTTGGTCTTACTCTCTACCCTCCGGGTAGCAGTGTTTTAGTACCCAAAAGAGCCGTGTCCGGGCGCAGCAGCGGCTTGGGGGTATAGCTCAGTGGTAGAGCATTTGACTGCAGATCAAGAGGTCCCTGGTTCAAATCCGGGTGCCCCCTTCGTGGCTTTTCCTTCACCTTGAGATGAGCATTTCGCGAATTGTACTTACAGGTGAATTGGATCCTAGGTTGAAAGAAAACCCAAAGTTGATTTATTTTACAAATGCCTTCCTCACTTTCCTAACCTTAGCAGAAAGCTTTCGATTTTGCTTTGTACCCAGCTGAAGGAGGAGTGCGTGCGCGCACAAATCAAGTTCAAAACCTGCAACTCCCTATTATCCGCGCCAGAATTGTCACGATCTCTGGGGCCGCCGCCAGCAGCCTCAAGTGTGTCAGGCAGTTCGAGGCGCCCGGGTCGGAGGACAGGATTACTCCCCCAACTTGGCTTTCCGTTTCCGATGGGGGAGGTGGATGGTCAAAAGAGGGAAACCCGCAAACACAACCTTTCCCCAACTTCAACTTTCTTTCTTAAGTCAGGTGTCATGGACCTGCTGTATCCACCCCTCCCTATTGTTCGTGACACAGGCAGAGGGAACGCGCTTCAAGAATGTTAAAACGGCGAATGCACACCCACCGGCTCATTTTAATTTACAAAAATAAAGTTACGTCCGGATGCAAACGGATATATGCCGATTCGGTGACTCTCAAACTCCAGCGTGCGCCAGAATTACCGGAAGACCTTATTGAGTCCCGTTTCTGAGCCTGGAGGGGAACTTCAAAGAATTTGCATTTGAAACCAGTTCCTGGGGGCTCCCGCCGCTGGTGGTCAGGGGCCACACTTTGAGAACCACTGAACTAGCACTAGGAGGCAATGGAGTTTCACAACCTGAAGGTAGGCCAGATATCTCCGTTGGCTTCCTGACTGACAGTTACCATTGTTGGGTCACGGGGGAATGATGTGTGAAAGCAGCAAGGGCGGCCCCCTCGACTAGGTTTTGCCCAAAAAAAGGAAAAATAAAGGAGAAAGGGAGAGACATGCTGCCTGGATCAGGGGGCAGCTGTGATATTTTAAACCCGGAATCTGATTGTGTCATCCTTGGGAGCCCCTAGGGAATCCTCAGGCGCATTTTTCCCCATGGCTCTCATAACTGTGAGAGGCGTTAAAAAAGCCAGGACATGGAGACTGAGCAGAGCCCAATCCGAAGGAATAGCCAGCTTTTCACCCCTTTTCTGGACACCAGGCCTCAGGCTTACCACCCGCACTTTTGTCAGACCAAAGCCCTCCCTTTGAATAATATAAAGAAGGAGAAAACCATGTACTTTTGACATGTCTTCCCTCTGTGCTGGGACTCAAACTTCTCAAGAATGTAAATAAACCTTCTGAATGTGGATTCTGTTCTCTTAGTCTCCTCCGTCAGAATATGAATAAGGCTAAATAATATTACCTCCCCCACGGGGCACTCCACTGTTACCCCCCCCCAAAAAAAAAACAACCTGTAATTAACATTAAACCAATAGATCTCAGTCTCAGAGATGAAAATAGTTTGATCCCATCTTTCATCCACAAGTGGGCTTCTTGCCACTGCGTTGAGTTATATCATAAGACAGAGTAATAATCACTGTTCAACCTCTGGGATGTTACTGCTTGCTTCTCAGGTACAAGGAAGAGGTAGCTACTAGGTGAAATCAGCCAAGTGGAAGAGACAGGGATTCCAAACAGTTTTGTATTCAGAACCTGCAGATATTGGGGTCACACAGGTATTCAGAACCTTAGATATTGGGGTCACACCTGAACAACTGTGAAAAACAGTAAAGGTAACCAAGGGGGCACCCGGATTTGAACCGGGGACCTCTTGATCTGCAGTCAAATGCTCTACCACTGAGCTATACCCCCTCTGCTGGCAAGAGCTTGTTAAATTCTCTTTACTGCAATCTAAATTTTTCATCTTGAAAATTCTTTGTTGGAAGTTTGTTTCTTCCCGCTAGGTAATACTGAATTTTCTAGTAAGGAAGAACAGAACTAAAACACCAATTGAAGATGTGACATTTTGAAAACATGTGAAGTCAGGTACCAATCTGCCTTTTCCAAAACAGACTCCATCTCTTTACCCAAAGAAGTCAGAAAACAATCTTTTGCAAAACTTGATAGGGAATCCTTTTCCCTGGTCTCTCTAAGAAGAATACAAACACCAGCTAGCAGGACATCACTGGGAGACGTCCCCTGGCTATACTTTCTAGTGGTCACTCTCTCTTTTTATGGAGCAACTACTCCCCTTTAGGTGCAGAATATATTTTCCGTTCTCACTCACACCGAATTAAAAATCTAGTGAAGACAAACCAGAAACTAGAGAGTTTGGATCTGAAAGACATGAAAGGGACACTGGCTACCTGGGAAAACATGCTTTCTAAGTAGCGAGAATGACTAATGCCATGTCCCTAGAGCCAGAGTGGGAGGAGAGGTGGACAAGGGAAGGGCAATTCAAAAGAGCTGGACAGGTAGCCAGGGCCAGTGAGGGCCTTGTAACCCAAGGTAAGGAGTTTGGATTTTATTCCAAATGGATGAAAAGGCAGCCGTTGGACGGTTTTGAGTGGGGATTTGAAATCATCACCCACACTTCTGAGGGCAGGATGTATAGGGATCCAAGAATGGACATAGAGAATACATACAATGGAATATTACTATGCCTTGAAAAGGCAGGAAATTTTGCAGTATTTGACGACATGGGAATTATGCTAAGTGAAATGAGCCAATCACAGAAGGACAAACACTGAATAATTCACCTAGATGAGGTATCTAAGACAGTCAAACTCATAGAAGCAGAGAGTAGAATGGTGGTGGCCAGGGATGAGGAAAGAAATATGGGGAGTTGCTAAGCAATGGGTATGAAGTTTCAGGTATACAAGAGGAGTAAGTTCTAGAGCTCTGCTTTACAATATTGTGCCTATAGTTAACAATATTGTATTGTACACTTAAAAATCTGCAAAGGGACATCTGGGTGGCTCAGTCATTGAGCGTCCAGCTCTTGGCTCCATTTCTGCTCAGGTCATGATCTCAGGGTTGTGAGATTAAGCCCCACCTCAGAGTCCATGCTCAGAACAGAGTTTGCTTGAGATTCTCTGGCTCTCCCTCTCCACCTCCCCCTGCTGACACCCACGCACACACACACACACACACACACACACTCTCTCTCTCTCTCTCTCTCGAATAAACAAACCAACAAACAAATAAAATCTTTAAAAAATCTGTGAAGAGGGTAAATCTCATGTTAAGTGTGCTTACCACAAAGGAGAGGAAAAAGATGGACATGGAGAGACAGGTTAGGATTCTCTTGCATAGTGGAGGTGAGAGATGGTGATGGTGTCTTAGACTAACTACAATAGTGTGCTTACTTTCTATTGCCGCTGTAACCAACCACCACAAACTTATTTCCTTAAAACAACACAAAAATATCATCTTACACTTCTGCAGGTCAGAATTCCAAGATCAAATGTACGGGGCTAAACTCAAGGTGTTGACGTGTCTGTATTCTTTTGGAGGCTTTAGGAGAGCCTCAGTTCCCTTGGCTTTCACAGCTTCCAGAAGTCACCCGCATTTCTGGGTTCATGGCCCCTTCCTCCATGTCCAAAGCCAGGATAGTATCTTCTTGCCCTCTGATCTCCGCCACATCCATCCTTACATCTTCTCTCTGTCTCTGACTCTGATCCTCCGGCTTCTCTCTTAGAAGGACCCTTGTGATTCCATTGAGCTTATCCACATTGCCCAGGATAATCTCCCCAACTCAAGATTTTTAACTGCAACCACATCTGTCTTTTATAAGCTAACAGATGCACAAGGGGTGGGGGACATGGACATATCTGGAGGGCCATTATTTAGCCTACTGCCATGGGAACAGCAGAGCTGGAGAGGAGTGTGGGCCTCCAAATGGGCCACAGACGGGGAGTTACATGCTTCCTCTACTTTGGATGGCTTGAGGAAGAAGAGCGAAAGAAAAGAATCAAAAGCGACTCTTCTTTTTTGTCCCCCATCTGGGTGGATGATGGTGTGGTTTCCTGAGATAAAGAACACTGGGAAAGGAGTAAGCTTAGAGGAGAAAAAAAAATTAAGTTTCTTTTTAAAACTCTTAAACACAGAGTAGGACAGTATAATGCCCTGCCCTCATGGACCTCACATGCTA